TTTTGATTTATTGTATAGATGAGGTCTCGCCAAGTTGCCCAGGTGGGTCTCGAACCCGCAAGCTCAGGCAATCCACTCTTTTTTTTAATTTATTGCTGGAATCCCTAAAGTGGTACATGGTACAGAGTAGGCAATCAAGTATTTGTTGGCTAAATGAATTCCCATTTTCCCTTGGGGCAACTTCCCTTGGAAGTTCAGAGAGGAAGTGATTTGTCCAAAGTCACACAGCTGGTAAACAGGCAGACCCAGGTCCTTTAAACTCACACTGCCCGGTGTCCTCTCTTCCACAGACAGCTCGAGGCTTGCAGAAGCCAGAGAGCTCAGGCAGCAAATGCTGACAGCTTTCCAAGGACATTACCAAATTCTCAGGTGGCAGGGCCCCAGGCAGCCATGGAGGAAAATGAGGACATTCAGGGCCTTAAGACCCCTCAGCCATGGTGACCACAGCCACCACTCCTAAACCAGAAGATCTGCAGCCCAAGGTGGGTGGCAATTCAATGACTTTCATGGCTAGCCCCTGGGTCCCTGAGTTTGGTGTCGCAAGACCAGAAAAGGAACCGGTTCCCTCAGGGCCATCAAGTGGGAACTGCCAAGGCTGCGCCCAGACCAACCCCTCACCCTGTGGTCTGACCCCTCACTTTCCAGAGCAGGTTCCTGAGGCCCAGAGGAGGAAAAATGACTTCCCCAAGGTCACAAGGTAACTTCCCAGGCTAGCAGCCAAAGCCCCAGACTCCCAGGAGCTGATTAACAGAGGAGACAGATGGGGGATTGCACCTCAGGGGGAAGAAACTAGGGAGACACGCAGAAACAAACAAATCTCCTGGACAGCACCAGCAGCCAAGCAGGTTGATGGAGAAAGCTATTCTTACAGCGCAGGGCTGGCAGCCATTAAGTCAGGGGCCGTAATGGGATCAGCAACAGACAGTCATTCAAAATGAAAACATATAAAACCTCTCTTCTCCCATTACTGCTGAGAAACCGTGCCCCAGACATGCAGACTTGATATATTAAATTTGGCAGCTCTAATACACCCCGTCTTGCCAATAAACTTATAGGAATTAGATTGAAATTGTAAGAGATGAACGTTTAACGGTCGAGTGCTAAACCAAGCCATTCACGAAGCTTGAAGCGCCAAGGAGCTGCTGGCTCTGGAGAATAACGGGGAAGGGAGGGGTGGAGGAGGGTATCTCTTTGGGAGACTGAAACAGAACGGTGGCTCTGCGGCACACTTAGCTGGACAAAACCACACAGGCATTTGCAAAAGCCGGCTATGTGACCTTGGGTAAGTCACTTCCCTTCTCTAGGCCTCTACTTTCACTGTGGGAATATGAGAAAGCGGATCTAATTGGCCAACTGCTCAGGGAGTGTTGCAGAGAAGTTTGCTAATGCAAATGGCCAAAATGACACTAATCATGTCTGACATTGAGCAAGTGCTCAATAAATGTCACCTATTATTAGACCAGTGGTTTATCGAGTACCTACTATGTGTCAGCAGTAGGCTAAAAGCTCTACATGCATCATCTCATTGAATCCTCAGGACAACCTGCAGGGTAGAGCCTGTTCTGCCTTTTCAGGTGAGGGTACTAAAGTTCTCAGAAGTGAAGTGACTCAGTCAAGTGAAGCGACTTCCAAGTAAAGTCACTAGGAAGCAGCCAAGCTGGGCTTAGAATCCAGGCAGCAAGGCTCTGGACTCTGCATCCTAATCACTTAATGAAAGTCTCCCCCCATCAAATTATCGTAATGACAATTTTCCTTTATTAATCCCTCACTACACTTCTAGGACCATGCAGCCCCTTCAAATCTCAAGAGATATGTGTTATAATTCTACTTATGAATGAGGAAACTGAGGCTCAGAGAGGTGTCATGAGGTGTCCCAGGTCACATGTAGGAAGAGGAGCAGGTCTCAGGATGCCTGGGGTTCAGGCCTGCTGGGAAAGCCCATGTTCACACCACTGTGATAACTGTCCCATACACCAGCACCAGGAAATCAGACCACACACCCCTCTGCCTGCCTGTCAGCCGCATTGACCCAAGTGATGTGCCTCCTCAGGTGTGTGTGTGTGTGTGTGTGTGTGTGTGTGTGTGTGTGTGTGTTCTCGTTTTCCCCCTTCTCTCAAATATTCACACACCCTTGGTGAGATCTCATCTCTACAATAAATCAAAAAATAAGCTGGGCGTGGTAGCATGTGCCTGTAGTTCCAGCTACTTGGAAGGGTGAGGCAGGAGGATCACCTGAGCCCAGCAGCTGGAGGCTGTGGTGGCCGGGAGTGTGCCCTGCACTCCAGCCTGAGCTCCAGAGTGAGACTCTGACTAAAAAAACAACAAAAAAAACATACCCACACACCGATAGGAGGCAAACTGGCCAAAAGTTCCATTCCTGTGCTTACCTTGTCAGCCTCAGCTGAGGGCCACAGCTGTCCCACCCATGCCCACTCTTCGCCTGGCACATGGGGAGTTCTCAGTCATCTTGGATGTGCTTTCAGGAACCCACGTTCTAATCCCAGCTCTGCCAGGTGAGACTGTGGCTTAGTCACTTACCCTCTCTGGGCCTCAGTATCCCCATGTGTGATGTGATGGAACCAGGTGATCTCTAAGAACGTCTCCAGTTCTAATCATATCTGGTAATCAGATGAGAATTTGCCCCCACTGGTGCCTTCCACCCACCTGTCACAGATATGTGATCAGTGCCTAGAAAGAACAGTGGGCAGCACAGCCCCTCTGGGACAGGAGTGCATGTTCCCCGGCACCACCTAGACAGGCCCCTTCCTGACCACCTCATCCTGCAAAGCAGTCACATCACCTTCATCTCCCTCCGAAAGGAGTACTCAGCCTGGAGATGGCACTGAGTGCCAGGACCTGCAGTCGCCTCATTTACGTGCCTGGGAAGGTCATGTAGGGAAAGGGTTAAGAGTTGGGCTCTGGGAGTCAGAAGACAATGTTTAAATCAAGATGCAACTACTTTCTAACTCTGTGATCTTGGGCCATTATTTAACTTCTGGCCTGTTTCCTGCTATGAAAACTGGGATAAATAACAGTGCCTACCTCAGGGATTGCTGTGAGAATCAGATCATCCAGGTACACACTTAGCACAGAGCATGGCTCCTCAGAAGTCCTCAGGAAACACTGGCTGTCATTACCATGGTTACCATCATCCTGCAGAAAACAGAGTGCAGACAAGGAACAGGATGTTAGTCCCCAGTGACCTCTGGGTTAGCTGGTCCATATTACAGATGAGGAAAGTAAGGCCAGGAGAGGGGAATGAATTCCCCGAAGTCCACAGAACAAGAGGCAGAGGTGGGACTGGAACCTGAGTCCCCACAGTAGCCCAGAAATCTAGCCTGTACAACAGCTCTGCAGAGCCCCACTGCCCAGGGATGGTGTTGGATGGCTCTCGCATCCCACAGGCCTGTGCCCAGGTTCCCATTCCCGGGCAGGAGCTGGCCTTCAGCAAGGTGACCTCATCCAGGTGTAAAATTCCAGGGTTCCTAACCCAACTGCCACCGCTCCAGTGCCTTTGTCCACATTAGGATAAGGTTTGGTCTGCAGACTCCTCTGGACAGATCAAGTGTCCTGCCAGACACACAACCTGGCCAGCAGAAGGCTGGCTAGATTTCAGCTCCAACTCACCTCTCAGTAGGGCGTCCTTGCACAAGGCACAATGTGCACCACCGCACTTGGCAACCCTAAGTCGGGGGTCAGGGACAGGGAGGGAGGGGGACAGCTGGAGTGTCTCTAGATGGCGTCCAGATGCCAGCATGAGGTGCTGACTAAGCTGGCCTTCTCTGCTGTGATTCATCCTCATCCTCTGAGGGTGGCAAGCTCGCTAGAGTGTGAGCTAAGCCCTGTCCGGAACACAGAACCATCTAGCCCCTCCTCCCTGCCAAAAACAGCCAGTGTCACCCACCCACTCTCAGGACCAGGACCACGGCTGCAGCAATGTCTGCTGGCTCCCCAGAGCTTCGCCAGGTGAGAGGGTTGGCTGCTCATGGCCAAGGGGCAGCGGGCAAGGGTAGTGGGACAACCCTCTAAGGTCAAATGGTCTGGATTAGGATTCTAGCTCTGGCCACTTATAGGCCGAGTCACCTCTGGAAAGCTATCTCACTTCTGAGTCTGTCCTGAGCTATACAGTAAGGACCCCACAGCTGGTGCAGAGTTACCAAGGAAGAGTATATTGTGGTGCCTAGCATATAGTTAGCACTCAAAGAATGGAGGTAGTTACTGCTGCCACTATTACCGTCCAGGCCACCTGCCCCCTCATGCTTTCGGGAGCACACCCTGACCACCTGATTTAAAGCTGTCATCCTTCTGTACTCTGGCATTTGTACCTCCCTTTCCCTGAGGTGTTTTCCTTAGCCCGTCTCACCACCTCACATGCTGATTTACTGTCCCCTGTGCCGCCTCCCTCACTAGAAAACAGGCTCCACAAGGGCAGAGAGGTCAAGTCTGGTTGTCCACCTGCTACCCCGGCACCCGGAACGGGTCCTGGCACATTCTCGTGCCATAACCGCTTGGGGGTGAAGGAGCGAGACCTCTGCGCAACACCAGCATCTCCCTGGCCCTCTTCTCTTCAATCTGGGTACAAAGACAAGGACAGACACAGAGGAGAGACACGTGAAGCCCTAAAGGCCAGTCTCTCCCTGCCACCACCAGCCCTCCCCGCGGGACTTCCATCTCCAGTAGGGCCCTGGCCTGACCAGCTACTCAGCTCCCCAAGTAACCCCATTCCACTGACATAAGCTTCTCTCGTGTCTCACGGCACCTGACCTCAGTCCTCTGGGCTCAGAAAAAAGATGACCAATTAGTCCAGACACTGGGCAGGGAAGAGGGAAGAAAAGAGGCTAGGGTGAGTGGTGTGAGGGGAGAGAGCTTCAGAGCTGATTCCCGCTTCCTGGGCGCTCCACTTTCATTCCTTTATCTGATCTCCTGGAGCCCCTCTGAGTAGAAATCAAGGTATCCATTTCACAGATGAGAAAACAGGCTCAGAAATACTCCTCATCTGCTCACAGGCAAGGCTAGGAAAGACACTAACAGTAATCCTAACAACTACAGTTAGTTTCAGTAACAATAAGGACACTTATACCAATGCCACCAGCAACAATGTATCATCATCCTGAGCGCTGCCAGTGGGCCAGGGCCACGTTCCTGAGACCCCGTAGCCAAGGTACACCAGAGCTGGCATGTACATTTGGGTCTGACTGGCCCCAGGACCCACTGGCTCCCCATCCCATGGCCCTGCTGGGAGGCTGCTATGGGCAGACACTTGTAATTCGTCAATATTCTTGGTTCCTTTGGTTGTGTGCGTCTCGGGTACAGAGCTGGCTTTGGCACAAGGCTAAAATAAGCCAATAGCTCGGCCTCTGGCCAGGACCTGTGCTGCGTACTGTAATTATTCTGGACCTGTGCTCACCACAGGCTGCCCTCAAGCTCACCTGTCATTTCTTCTAATTCTGGCACCACCAGACCCCAGGTAAACAGTAAACCGCAGCCAGAGGATGGCTTTATTGCATGCCCACTAGGAGCCCAGCAGTGTCCCAGCGCCACATATGCCCGCCGTCTGGAGCTGATGGCATCAAACTGCCCTGTGGGGCGGCCTGCAGCCTACCCGCTCAGGACTCTGCTCCAATAGCAGTGCCAAGAAATCCAGATGCTGGGCGCTCCATAGGTTAGGGGTATCTTTCAGATGCTCCAGTGTCTGTAGCAGCCACACCTCTTTCTCATCCTGACCTCTCTCCTGTGTTTGCCTCCCACCCCTTCTTGGGATAAGGTACATCATCTCACTCCTGGAGGTCTAGGGCAGTGGGGTCCCCACCCACAGCAATTTTTAACTTGGCAGGTCTGGGACAGGGCGGTCCTGATTCAGAGTCCACAGAGAAATGCTAGTCCAAGGAAGCAGATGATGGGCAGAAAAACAGAGAGGGCAAGAGCTTGCCCAAAGTTACACAGACCACTCAAGCCAATCCTTTGAAGCTGTTTCTCCTTATACACAACAATTCTCATTCCTGACTCAGGTCTGAATCCTGTCCCTGCTACTCTCAGGCTATGGAACTCTCAGCAAACTACTTACTCTCGGTGTCACCTGGAAGATATAGGTAATACCACTACATAAGATTACCATGAGGATTAAATCATGCACGCTGGGTGCTTAGCAGAGTGCCTGGCATGCCGGTGGTATTCAGTACACATGTGTGGACCTGGTAACTAGCTTCCATGGACCTTGTGATCCTGCCTCCTCATTTTCACACCTTGTATAGTCCCCTCGAAGGCTGTGTTAGTGCTGGTCTGGATGACCGAGACTAGAGCAGAGGTGAGATGTCACTTCCAAGATCAGATTCGAAAAGACACTGCAGCTTCCGCCTGGGTGTCCCTCTTTCTCTGATCACTGTCTAGGGGAAGCCAGCTGCCACACTGTGAGCAGGCCTGTGAGGAGGCCCGCGTGCCTAGGAAATGAGACCCCCTGCTAACTGCCATGTCAACAAGCTTGGAAGCAAATCCTCCAGGCCCAGTGACGCCTTCAGATGACTGCACCCTCCTGAGAGACTCTGCCAGAACCACCCAGCTAAGCCACTCCCAAGTTCCTGACCCTCAGAAAGAGTAGGAGAGAATCCGAGTTTGTTGCTCTAAGTCACTGAGTGTCTGGGTAATTTGTTATGTGGCAATGGAGAACTACTACAGTGGACTAAATGAATGAAAAAAACAAAATCACTCTATAATCTGCAACAGCCACAGGTACCAAGTGTACCATATCTCAAAACACCCACGTCAAGTCAAAGGAGGCCCCTCCTCCCACTCACTCCTACACAACCCTAAGGCTCCATGGTTGGCTCCTTTTTCATTCCCTCATTCACCACTTCCTCTCTGCCAGACTAGGATTTACATCTCATGACACACAGACTCTGCTCTCACAAGAAGGTACAGTATGCGGGAGGAGGCTCAGATAATTCCCCAGAAATAGTACTAGGCAGCAGGCTTTGGGCTGGGGGCAGCAAGGAGGGGCACCTGCATCTGACAGGGAATTTGCTCAAGGAAAGGATCAGAGATAACCACAGAGATCTAGGTACCTGGCTGGTCACTGCAACGTAGCGGATCCTAAAAGTGAAATCGACATTCCTAACAGTAAGAAGAGTTGACAGTTACCTACTGCTCACTGCATGCCAGGCATGCTGCTCAGAGTTCTATGTGAGACAGGGATTCAATGACATCATGCACACAGCCCATGAGATCGGTTCTGCCTCATCTTACCCTCAAAAAGACTGTGGGCAGGCGGGGCACAGTGGCTTACACCTATAATCCTAGTACTTTGGGAGGCCAAAGTGGGAGGATTGCTTGAGTCTGGTAGTTCGAGACCAGCCTGGGCAACATAGTGAGCCCTTGTCTCTACAAAAAAAGTAAGAAAATTAGCCAGGCATGGTAGCACATGCCTGTAGACCCAGAAGGTCAAGACTGTGATGAGCCCTGATGGTACCACTGTACTGCAGCCTGGGTGACAGAGTGAGACCCCAACTCAAAACAAAAAACTGTGGGCAGAGAGCATCCACAGTTGGCAAGGAGCAAGAGTAGGGTCTGAGCCACATCTGGTCAATGGAACACCACACAGCTGTTACAAATCAAGTCCAAGGAAACTTCCCACACCTGGGCTGATGTTCACTCTCTACTGTTACATGGAAATGGCTCATTATCATTACAGTATGTACAATATGATAGCACTTTTTTTTGAGTTGGAGTCTCACTCTGTCACCCAGACTGGAGTGCGGTGGCTGCTGCCACCACAGCCTCGACCTGCTGGGCTCCGGAGATCCTTCCGCTTCAGCCTTCCAAGTAGCCGGAATTACAGGCATGCGCTACCACACCCGGCTGATTTTTTGATTTATTGTAGCAATGAGGTCTTGCTGCTCAGGCGGGTCTCGAACCCACGGGCTCAGGCAATCCACTCACCTCAGCCTCCCAATGGTGCGGGATTACAGGTTGAGCCACAGAGCCCGGCTTGATAGCACTTTTTTAAGGAGAAAGAGCCCTCACCCCATACACATAGACACAGACTCAAGCAGACACAAAATATTTGCTGTGGTTATGTTGGGGTAATAGGACTTGTGCACATTTTTTTTTCATTTGATGTTTTTCTACATTTAGCATGCATTGCTTTAAAATTTAACAAT